CATTATTAAAGATTTATTTTTATTTGAACCTCCTTTCCTTTCTCTTTCTCGATCCTCCTTAGCAACAGTCATTACAGTCTTTGACAGCGGTCTGTCTGTACTACTGGATTAACAACGTGTCACATGTTCTGAATTGACCAATCAGAACTTTATTTAGCCTCCATATTGTTTATGGTTGAATGTGGGCTGCGAACAATTTTTAGATTCTTAAGTGGGCCTTGAGATGAAAAAGGTTAGGAACCGCTGAGGAACAGGAAGTGATACCTTTGATTTTAGAGTCGCTCTTCTGTCTCCACTGAGGCAGCAAGGCGCTGATGTGACGATGGCCTCGATCCCAAAAGTGCTGGACGGCCAGAGCGATCCCTCGACAGGAGAAGAAGTGACCCAACCCGTGACTGGAAACACAATATGTAGAGTTAAACAGAGCTAGACTTCTAGGAAGTTAAATGGTTCAGATCAATTATTTCCTACCTCATCGCCACATTGCTCCCGTCGATGACGATCGTCCTCACGTTTGGGTCACCAGGTTGGTCTTTTAGCTTCAGATCGAAGGGCATCTGAAGGCCTTCCAGGAAACGCTGCTCCCCCGTCACCACGACGGAGGAAGCGGCCATGAAGCCTTGCTTTTCCCTCGCTTTGGCGGGAGGCAAATCATAGATTGTGAAGATGGGTTTTTGAGGTTTTAAGGGTTTGAAGGAATTGGGCTTTGAGTTGAGGACAGGTTCTTGGGCTGGATGCTTTTGTCTCGACGTTGATGGATTCTGCCATAAGTTGTTTCGACCATGTTGTATGTTGGATTGGTTAAAGGTGGGTGGACGATCAAAAGATGGAGGATATGTGGGCATGGGTGGCCCTTTGACTTCAGGAATGCAGACTTGATACGGCGAGTTTATGTGTTTATAGAATATGAACTCGGCTTCAGGTGATTTCGGCACTTCTCCCCATCCTTTATCATCAGATTTTCTTTTACCTGCAGGCATAAAAAGCTCCATTTCCTTTGCTTTGTCCTCAGATGGTGGCACTTTTGGTTCTTCTTTCTCTATCACCACATCGTCCATCTCTCTTGGTACTTTACCAAAGGCAACCAACTCTTTGCTCTCCTCTCTCTGCAGCTCCAGGATCAGCTGGTGAGTGGATCCATCCGGCAACATGTTGTAGAGTTTGGTCACTTTCTGCTCCATGTACCCACAGCTGGCTGCCGCTTTCTTCACCACCCCTAGAACAAAGTCTTCCTTGTGCCCTATCTCCTTGGGTTGATCTCTTCCCGTTGCTCCAGCTTCCATGAACTCGGAACTACTCATCAACACATCTCCTCCCGATACTTCCATTTCTTCTTCTTCTTCTTCTCTGTGCTCTGTCTCGCAAGGTCGGTTCCTCTCGCTTCGGTTCGACTCATCGCCGTCTTGAGTTTTCTTCCCCTCCTCACGGTCACTGCGATTCTGCTCCTGTTGAACAACGTCTAGTATCTGCGACGCCTCTTTAAGTCCCGTTCGGGCAAGGACTCTCTTAACTATCTCCTCTGTGTACCCCATAGCTGTGAAGAACTTTAAAAGAAGCAAGAACTCTTTGTTTCCCACTGACAACAGCACTTCTTGTTCTTCATCTTCCCCTCGTACGTCTATCACCTCTGTACTTATTGATGCTGCTTCGCTTTGTCTGACAACCTCTTGTAGAGAAAGCAGAAGTCTTTCGTCAGCACCCTCTGCCAATCCTCGGGACCCTGAAGACAACAACTGGAATGAGGAAGCGGCATAGTCTTTACCAGAAGCTGAAGTCATCCCTTCAACCCAACGATCAGGAGACTCTGGGAGTGTGTACGTAACGGACGAAGGTTTGTCCCATCTAACCCCCGAATCCTCGAGAGATCTAGCCCCAGCGTTTCCATCTGTAAGATCTGGACTAGGGTTTGATCCAAGCCCCGATCCTATTACCAACTCCAGCAGGATCTCCTTCACTAACGCCGGGAGAACCAGAAGATCCAGGATGTGTTTGTCCTCCCAATTCTCCACCAGGCTTTTGAAAGCCCGCCGTGAATCCAGAGTCTCGCCCATGCCTCTGTCTGTAGTCTCTGAGCGTCTGGAATGTGTGCCTTCGTACCGCTCCACCATATCTGTAATGAGGGAGTAGGCTCGAACAACCGGCTCTGCAAGACCGGAGATAAGCAGGAATCCGGTAGAGCCAACCTGGTTTAGATTAAAGAAAAACAGAATGAGTTTTGAGGTAGGTAGGTAGGTAGGTAGGTAGGTAGGTAGGTAGGTAGGTAGGTAGGTAGGTAGGTAGGTAGGTAGGTAGGTAGGTAGGTAGGTAAGTAGGTAGGTAGGTAGGTAGGTAGGTAGGTAGGTAGGTAGGTAGGTAGGTAGGTAGGTAGGTAGGTAGGTAGGTAGGTAGGTAGGTAGGTAGGTAGGTAGGCAGGCAGGCAGGGTACGTAGGTA